CTGATTTTAATTTTAAAAGCCACGTGCAATTTCTAACAAATGATCCGTGGTCTCTTTTTTTTTTTTTTTTTCTTTTTTTTTTTATCGTGTGCATTTTATCAACCTTTAGGGTGAAACGCCATTTTTCAAATGATGATAATAATAATAATAATAATATTATTATTATTATTTTCGGTTGAAATTTTTCGAGTGTCTTTTCTTTTGGGGGAAGAGGGAGGGAGTTGAGAGTATCGAACGTATGCGCGTTATTTGATTTCGTACGAATGGATTTTTTTTTTTTTTTGTCTTCCTTTTATTTCTTTTGTTTCCTCCTCCCTCCCGCCTCTCCTCCCCACCCCCGCCGCCTTTTCCTCTCCGAACGTTTTTTTTTTGGGTCGTTTAATTTGACTTTCTTCGTTTTGTGACACCGTCGGTTGAATTTATCCGTGTGTGTGTATGTGTAATGAAATCAGAGTATCAAATCGGTCGATTGTGCCACAGAGAGAAAGAGAGAGAAAGAGAAAGAGAGAGAGAGAGTTAGTGGTATATGACATGTCGACTGACGGTGCATCCACCCGTTAAATTTTACTTGGCATGTCATGTTCACATATATATATATATATATAGAATATACGCTTGCAAAAAAAAAATGTTTTTATTTCACGTCAACGAACGAACGTTCGAATCCTTTTTTTTTTTTTGCGTTCGGGAGAAGGACAGAACAGGACCGAGGGGAGGGAAGGAGAGGAGAGGAGAGATGGACGAAAGGAAAAAAGGTTTCACATACAATTTACTTTTTTTTTTTTTTTCTTTCCCCAGCGTCAGATTTGATTTTTTTTTTTTATTCTTAATATTTTTTCTCGAATAACCTTTCGAACGTCGGATCCGTTCGAATTCTTTTTTTTTTTTTTTTTATTAATCCACCCTTCTTTTATTTTCTTTTAACTTTCAAATCAAATTTCTATCCATTTTTGTTGTTGTTGATCTTTTTAACGCCCCCCGACGCTTCCGCCTCACCCCCCGCTGAAATCATCATCCACCAACGACGAATTTTTCTTTTCGTTCGAATTCATTTCCGTTATTTTCCAAATGGTCGAATACTCATTCAAATTTATTAAACGAACGTCGTTTAATTTAATTGTACAAAATGCGTTCGACGTTTTTAGAAAGAAAAAAAAAAGGGCAGGTGACCATAAAATTTGCGTTGTTGCGTCCGTTCGCCATTTTGTTTTTTTTTTTTTTGTCAATCTTTTCCTAATGAAAATCTCGTGTGTGTGTGTGTGTGAAAATTTTTTTTTTTTTATCATTATTATTATTATTGTTTTTTTATTGTATCGAAAATCGCCTCCCGTGACGAAATCCCCCTCCCCCTTTTTTTTAAAAACTAAATAACAAAAATGTTTTGTCGAGGGTGAACGTTTAAGGTCATCACCCCAATAATCAAAATTCTTTTTACTTTTTTTTTTCTTCACAAAAGATTTTTTGACGTTTTTACGACCCTGTTAAATTTAAAAACCTTTTCGAATTGATAACAGATAACAAAGTTTAATGATAATAATAATAATAGTTGCCGCATACGGTAAATTAACGTTCGAAAAACGTTCGAACGTTTTATTATTAAATAAATTTCTCTAGTTATAATATTGTTTATTTATTTATTCGGATTTTCCATTCGGATGAAAATTTAATTTTCCAAAAAAGGATTTGTTTTTTTTTTTTTTGCAAAAATTTTGGTTATTACCCTTCCCCCCTCCCCCCGCAAAAGAAAAAAAAATTTATTTTATTACGGTAAAAATTAATTATTTTAGAAAGAGCGAGACAGCGTCAATGATATATATATATATAAGGAAAATTTAAGATTTTTGGCAAATATTTTAACGTGACCCTTGCCCTTTCACCTACCCCCCTCGCCTCTCTTTCCCTCCTCTTTCCCCAAACTGAAAAGAAGAAAAGAAAAGAAAAGAACAAAAAATTTAAGATTTAATATTTAATTTAAATATTAAAATTTTGTGGTAAAAACCATTTCTTAGATCGATACATTTGAAATTAAAAAAAAAAAAAAAAAAAAAAATTTTTTAATTTTCCCGCCAAAATTTAAAAAAAAAAAAAATCCCGCCAATTTTTTTTTTTTTCGTTTCAAAATACGAACGAAAAAGATTTAAAATATTATGTCGGATTAGAAATGGATTTTTTTTTTTTTTTGTAATTTACATAATCTCTTTATAATCTCACCTGTTATCCGTTGTTGGATTAATTGTTATATAATTTAATCAATTAATTAATTATTTATTGATTATTGGTAAATGAGAGACAGAGATAGAGAGATAGAGAGAAAGAGAGATGAAAGAATTTTATTTACGAAAAAGAAAACGCGATGATGTTTATCGAGTTAAGAAGGAAGTTTGCGGCGGTGGTGGGGGAGGTGGAATAACGTCACCGAATTAGGTTTGAAAATAAGAAAAAGGGAGAAGAGGGATGGTAGGAGGAGAGGGGGGTGAAGGAAACGGGGGAAACGGGGATGACAAAAAAAAGGAAAAAACTGGATTTTATGACTCTGTTTTTCTCTACTTCGTAACTAGTAATGAAATATTTTTGTTTTGTTTTTTTAAATAAGGTCGAGTTGTTGTTGTTTTTGTTGTTGTTGCACGTCATCATCATCATCATTATCATCATCATCACTTTTTCACATCCTTAAATTATATCAAAAGTTCAGGAAAAAAAAAAAAAAAAAAAGAAAGAAAATTTTCCTTTTGGGGATTTGAACCCCCGACCTCTACCGCCGCCGCCGTCGCCACCGCCACCACCACCGCCGATTCTTCCTTCTCGTAAGAAATAAAATTTTTTTTTCTTCATCCAATTCCTGTTGCTGTTGCTTACGATTGTTTTTATTTTCTTAGAAAGAAAAAAAAAAGATTTTTTTTTTTTTTTTATCAAAATAAATTCTGAACATTTTACGAAACCCGATGATCGCGGGTGGGCGTGGGTCGATCCGAAGGGAAATAAGGGGAGTGTGGGGGTGGGGTGTGTGGGGTTGTTGTTGTTGTTGTTATATCGAGGTGCTTCTTCGATTCTTCTATACTTTATTGTTTTGTTTATTTTATTATTGTTTTTACTTTTTTTTTTTTTTCCAACATTGAGAAAAACATTTGTGAATTGTTTTATATATTTTCCTTCTTCTTCTTCTTTTTAATACCATTCCAAAGTTCAATTCAAATGTGGATTTTGCGTTTTCCACTATTGCTTTTTTTTTCCGTGGGGAGTGGGTGGGGGCGGGGGAGGGTTTTTTTTTTATTATTCCATCGAATGTTTTTCATTTTATTTTTTTTTTTCTTTTACTTCCTCCTTACACTTTTTATTTAATCCGTCTTTGTGTCGTCAATACGTGATTGCATGTATGTATTTTTTTTTTTTTTTCAATCGATCAAAGACCTTTTAATAAATGAAACGTAAAATGGGATTTATCTCATCTCTCTCTCTCTCTCTCCCTCTCTCTCTCTCTTTTTGTAACTTTTAACGTCGAAATAAAAAAAATTTATAAGTATTTGATTTACACCTGTAACGATAAAAAATTGTAATTTTTTTTTTTTTTTGTAAAGGGAAAAAGAAAGAGAGGGAGAGAGATGGAAGAGAGAGAGAGAGAGTGAAGAAAGGTTATAAAAAGGTTTTCGGTTACAAAGTTGAAAAGATTTTTTTTTATAAAAAGTGGTAAATATATTTAACGACGCCTTTGGGAATGTGACGTAAGAAGGCCCAAATGAAATTTATGTATACTGTAAATATGAACAATGTAGTTTATTTTCCACACGAATGGCTTTGGCTCCTCCACCTTTTCACAAGGATAAAAGCTTCACTTTAACTCACAAAATATGGATATGGACTTAGTCGGGATGTGAAATTCGGGAGGAAGGGAATAGAGGAAAAAAAAAAAAAAATATTGCAATTTTCATATTATCATCTCTCCGTAGGTTTTTTTTTCTTTTTTTTTTTTTTTTTAGTGGAAGAAGAAAAGAAAAGAAAAAAAAAGTGTGAGAGAGAGAAAGAAAGATAGAAAGAAAGGAAAAAAAGGAAAAAAAAAATTTACGACAGCTGTTGTCAGCTTTATAAAAAAATCTCCTACGACATTTTTACTTTTAACAAAAAGGATATATTCGAAAAAGGTTAGCCTTGTAAAGTTAGTAATATGAACCAAAAAAAGAGAGAGAGATAGAAAAAAACTCGTATTACTTTATGAAATCAACGAGAGTAATAAAAGATAAAAAGAGGGTGGTGGAGAGGGATGTGGGGGGAGGGGAGGGAAAACTCTCCGAGACAAGGTAGCAGATGCGTGATTACGACTTTTTACTTATTGAAAATGATAAGAAAACTTTTTAATTTTCGATTAAAGTTTTTTTTTTATGAGTTGACAAAAAGGTGCGAGACCGTGATGACTTAATATATATTTAATTGATATTATAAAATAACTAATAAACAAATTAAATTATCTTGGATACGCTCCTGAAGGATAGGGAAAAAAAAAAACTTTTTCAAATTTAAATTATATTAAAAATTAATTTGTTAACTTATTTTTTCCCCCTCTCTTTCTCTCTCTCTCTTGCCATAAACTGATTTTTTACGCGATAAATGGTCTTACACGTCACGTATATCGTGACAATCGATTCGTTAAAACAAATAAATAATAATAATGATAATTTATTAAATTTAAAATGTATATGTAAATGTTTCGATAAACAAATAAAAACAATTTGTAAAACAATTTTTTTTATTTAAAAAAAAAAAAAGTTGAAAGAAAAAAACTTTTTTTTTTCCCGAAACTCTTAAGAGACATAAAAAGAATTTATTATTATAAGAGGAAAGAGAGAAAGAGAGAGAGAATAAATGGATAGAAAAGAGAAAAAGAGAAAGAAAGAGAGAGAAATAAAATAAGAGGTTTTTATGTTTATATGCGAATGACGTCAAAGCTTTCATATATATATATCGTTGAAAGTTTTTTTCTCTCTCTCTCTCTCTAAGAACTATGAAAAATGTATAAAAGGGAGGATGAAGTAACGGACACTGCTTATCGTAAGCTTTGAAAACCATCATCATCATCATCATCATTATTATTATCATCATCACCGTCAATGTTGCGTAACACATATCCAAACATTTTATAAATGCGTGATGCCACTAAAACGTGTATCGGCATAATCATTTCGGATTTGTGAATATTTTTTCCAAACCTTTTTCCTGACACGAACATTTTTTTTTTTTTTTTTTGTTATCTGATACCACGATAAGAATAAAAATGTCCACCTTAAAAATAATTTTCAAATAAATTTTAGGCGACGCCTCGTTTTTTCCAAACCTTTTTAATTAAAATTTATTATTATTATTATTATTATTATTATTTTGTTTTTTTTTCATTTCAGTTGATTTCGATGAATTTTCGACGGAAACGTTAAAAGACGTGTCAGAAAAATATTCTTATGAAAATGACGTCGTCGATTCGAAAATGAAAGAAAAATTTAAATATAATTCGGACGAGGACGACGGGAGTGGAGGTAGCGACGGTAGCGACGTCGGTGGCAAATTTCATAACGAGGAAAACGGGAATGAAGATGAAAAAATTTTCCCGAAAACGGATAAAAAAAAAAAAATTAATAATGATTACGTAATAACAAACGGAAATGATGATAAGGATTGCGACGACGATTCTATCGCGACGACGATGACGTCAACAACGACAACAACAACAAACAACACCCAAGTGCCAATAGTTTGTTCTCAATTAAATAATTCAACCTACGGTTATAATTTAAAAAAAATAATTAACGAAACGACAAACAACAACAACAACAACGGTTTGATAAATAAAAAAGAAACAAACAATGTGATGAACGGGAAAACGACGAAAAAAAAATTTTCCGAAACGAACGTTGTTAACCTTGAAAAATTATTATTATTCGATGATAAGAAAAACGGAAACGTGATAAGCCTTAAAAAACCTAAAACGAAAACCCCATTGATCGTCGTTAAAACCGTTAAAGATTTAAATAACGTGTACAAACATAAAAATGGTGAAATAAATAACGATAGAAATGATGAAGATCGTCGGAAAAAATACGACGTGGAAGAAGAAAAAATAAAAGAATATCTGATGAGAAATGACACGGCGGTGATTTATCAGGAACCCGTGGATCAAAAAGTCAAAGGTAAGTCAAAAATAATCTTTGTCGTTTGTGTTTGTGTTTGTCGCTCTTGGAGAACGCGTGAAAATAAATTTCCCGGCGATTGTTTCCGGGAGGTGGAAGAGGGGAGGGGGAGGACGAAGGGAAGAAAAGCTCGTTTGGTTTTTGTCCAAAGGAATAATCAAAGGAATTCACAACGTTTTTCTTCACGACCTTTGGCAAATATTATAAACGCAAAACAAAATTCAAAGGATAATGAATGCTTTCCTTTCACTTGTGTTTATATTTTTTCCTTATTTTATTTTATTTATCAGACGTTTTTATTGTTTTTTTATTGGGATATTTTTTTGTCATGTGTTGAAAACAATAAGACAGTCGATATTTCCAGTAACCCCCCCTCCGTTCCCCATTCCCTCCTTCTTCCCCCCCAACACCGTCGCAACTTCCCGTTTTTTTCTTTTTTTTTCTCCAGAATATTTTTTATTTTTTTCTTTCTAAAGTTTATTTTAAATGAATCGGAGAAAATTTTATTTCGGTTACGTTTAAATTCGCGTAAGAGGAAAAGAGAAGGGAGAGGGGGGAGAGAGAAAAGAGAAAAGGGAGATTTTAAAAATCGATGACGTCAACTGAAAAAAATTTCTTTAAAAAAGAAAATGGAAAAGAAAAATTTGAAAACTTAAAACAAAATTTTTTTTTGTCCAAACCTGAAACGTTTTTTTTTTAATTTTTAATTTTTTTTTTTTTTTAATCGAACAAACAACAAACGAGAAAAATTTATCTCGGATTCTCCATGAATCATGTCGAAAACGATTCGAAATTTTTTAACAACCATTTTTTTTTATTCTCCAAAATTTCTCCAGCGGTCGTACATAAGACCGAAAAAAACAAAATAATTTCAATTGATTAAATTAACAATTTATTTTATTTTTTTAAAACCGAAATAATAATGATAATAAATAAATAAATAAATAAAAAAGGCGGTCGTGACGTATGAGGAAAAATATAAACAAACAACAACGACAAACGATAATTTAAAATTTAAATGTTTTTTTTTTTTTTTAATTATAAAATTTTAATTTTATTAATTAAAACCAATAATAATAATAATAATAATAATAATAATAATAATAACATGGGAATAAGTCCGTGTGCGTGTGCGTGAGGGCGTGGACTCACTTACGACAAACGCAAACAACAAACAAACAAACGAGTTTTTTTTTTTTTTTAATTAGAAAGCAATAGACCCCCAAGATGACGTCGTTTTTAACCGAAGCAAAAAATTTTCTAATCATCATCGATTCCATTGATGAGGATTTTTTTTTTTTTACGGTTTTGAAAACCTGATGAATGGGGGGGCAGGTTCATTACATGGTTTAAAAAAAAAAAAAAAAAAGCAATAAATAAGAGAGGGGAAAGAGGAGGGAGAGGAGGAGGGGAGGGGTATGAAAGAAGAAAAAGTTTTGAATTTCGGATTCCAAGACCATAAAATAAATGAGAATTTCTATGGGGGTAAATTAATTAAGAAAATCAAAAGGGAAGAAAAATAAGTCAGAGGAAAAACTGGAGAAAAACTTTTCTTTTTTTTTTTTTTTTTTGTTTTTGTTTTCTGTTTTTTTTTTTTATTTCCCCCATTATTATTATTATTATTATTATTTTGGACTTTTCGAAACTTCCAACTGTTCAATCTTAATTAGGTTTTTAATACTGGCCCCTCCCCTCCCTCCCCCCGCCTGACGACGACGACGACGATCCCACTCCCACCATTTTTTTTTTTTAAATGAAGAGTTTTGAGAAAAAAATTTTTTTTTGTTTTCAATAGTTGGTTGCCATTTTAATCACTAATTCCACGTTTTTTTTTCGCGCGTCTTTTTTTGGGTCGTTTGGGGGGAGTGGGGGGTTGTAAAAATTTTTTTAATAATCAAATCATCGTTGATTGATTTGTTTAAAAAAAAAATTAAAAAGATTTGATGGACGAAGGAAGGAAGAACAAAAGAAAAAGTTTTTAAAACGGAAATGGCGGAAGTAGGTAATAAGTAGATGAAAAGTTAAAGATAGAGGAAAGGGAGGGGAAAAGGAGAGGGGAGGGTGAATTTAAAAAAAATTACTTAACGAAAGAGAGAGAAAAAAGAAATATAATTGACCAATTTTTCACTTTTGTCATTTCAATTTCTTCTCCATTTTTTTGTTTTTCTTTTCCAGCATTTTCTTCTTCTTTTTTTTTTTGTTCCAACAAACGCAAACACAAACAACAAACCTTTTTCCTTTTACTTCTTCCATTTTGAAAAAAAATTCAAAATAACCTTTTTCCCGTCCTTATCATCAATCAATTATCAAAAAAAATTTTCCCCTTGAAAATATAAAAGCTAACGAATCATCGTTGATTTTCACGATGAAAAAATAATTTTTCCCGAAGTAAATGAAAAGAAAAACACGTTTCGTATTATTATCATTATTATCATTAGAAAAATAAGAAAAACAAAAAAAAACAAAGATGGAGGATAAAAACGCTAAGACGAAAGGGTTAAAATTAAAAAAAAAGAATTTTTAGTAAAAGCGTGATTTAAGGTGGGCGAAGTGAAATAAGGGGGGAGAGGAGGGGGGTAGTGCGTGTGCGTGAGTATCGTGAGGATAGAGAAGGGTAGGAGTAGGGGGAGGAAAGTAAAAATAAAAGCGTTAATAAGTTAAAAACCAAAATGATCGTGTCATCAAACCTAAGACGAATTTTCCGGCCCCCGAAGGGTCCCGTTAAACTCATGTTAAATCAAATTTCTCGTTATAAATTACAAAAGATTTCACATTTGAATGTTTTTTAATGGAAACTTTAATAATAATAATAATGATGATGATGATGATGATGATGATAATAATAATAATTATAATGATGAACTCGTCGTAGGAATTTATTTTTCTTTTTTTTTTGCACGACGTTTCGTTTCGTCGTGAAATTATTATTATTAATATTATTATTATTATTATTATTATTATTATTATTATTATTATTATTATTATTTCTATTAAATTTTCAATTTTATATGTATTTATAAATTCGTGTATGCACGTACGCACGAATCCACGCACGCACGACGCACGCACGTACGCACTTATTTATTTTCCCGGGGAAATTTTTTTTTATTTGTTTGTCATTTACGCGCCATTTTTCAAATTTCATGTTATGTTTGTATATAAGTAACAAAAACAGGAAATTTCAAAGGAACATAATAATAATAATAATGATGATGATAATGATAATATCATTGGTTTTGTAAAATAGTTTGGGTTGTTTTTTTTTTTTTTTGGGTCCAGGGTTTTTCCTTTCTTTCCAGTCCAACTGGCTACTTTGCGGTTTCCGTTTGTCGGTGTCTGTCTTATCTCGTCAAACTAAAATCTCTTTAATTGTTTCTTTAAGTCATTTAAATTTATTTTATATCCAAAGTTCTTATTTTCTAAAATTAAATGGATTTTATCTATTTCCTTAAAGTCTGTGATTTTTGTGAGCGTGTCATCATCCCTTTCCTTCGTCCTGGAAATGAATGAATGAATGAATGAATGTTGGTAATTATCATCATCATCATCGCCAACGCCGACGCCAACGCGAATGCGCGTATTCTCACTCGAAAACATTCATCCATTAAATATTTGATTCGAAGTGATAACGTTGATAAGAAATTTACCTTAACGATATTCAAAAACATTCATTCATTCATTCATTCTTTTGTTAAAATTTTCATTCCCACCTCCCTACCGCTGACTCCTCTTTTCCCACCTCTCTGTCACTCTACCTCCCACTTTCCCCGCCTTCCCACTTTTCCCACCTTCCTCCCACTCTGACTCCCACTTTTCCCACCTCCCTGCCACTCTACCTCCCATTTTCCCCGCCTCCCCGCTTTCCCACTTCGTCCGTTACTCTCAATGATATCGAGCAAGCGATTAATTTTTTTAATATTTTCTTTATTTTGATTCGAACCCTTAATCAAATAAAAATAAATAAATAAACGTATTAAAAAGTTTCGAGTATTAAATCATAATAATAATAATAATAATAATAATAATAATAAATTACTGAGTCGGCAAAAATCTTTCGACGCCCCCTCCCCTCACCCCCCTTTTGCTCAACAACACATAGAGTAGTAATCAATCGTTAAATTAAATAGAAAAATATTGTATCATACGTATTCGTATGCATAGAATGAAAAGGAAGGAAGAAGAAGAAGAAGAAGAATGTTTTTTTAAAGGGATGAGAAAATTCCATTCGAGGGGGGTGGGGGTGGAGGTGGGAGTAGAGGGAAAGAGTTTGTTGAAAAATTTGAATTAAACAAAATCCCAAAAAGAAGCGGACCTTGGTCATTAAATTTCAAAGTTAATTCATCTTAAGAATTTCTGTTATTCGTAAAAGTTTTTCTTCTTAAACATCATCGTCTTTTTCTTCTTTATGTTGAATCGTTTATTATTATTATTATTATTATTATCCTACTATTTATTTATTATTCCTGGGCTTTTTGGTATATATATATATATACATACATAAGTTTTTCTTTTATGTATAATCGTTTATTATAGGAAATTTTCACAGAATTAACTTTAAGAAAGTTTTCTTTCAAAGACCTTTCTCTTTTCTTATTAAAGAAAAAGAAGAAGAATGTTAAGCGTGGGTGGGAGGGTGAGTAGGTGGTGGTGGTGGTGGGGGAAGTAGTAGCGGTGGTAGAAACAACCGCATCCATCCCTTTTTCTTAATGCGTTTTATGTTTGTTAAATGAGGAATGTTTCTTACGTGTTTGTTTCCATTACATACATATATATATAAATATTATATTTTTCCCTTTTGAGACGGGGAGGGGGAGTTTAAAAAAAAAAAAAAACATTTTTTTCCCGCATTTCCGGTTTTCGGTGTGGAAGGTGTGGGGGGGTATGGGAAAGTTTTTACGAAGTACACACGAAATTTTTTTTTTTTTTTTTTAATTGAAATTAATTTAGAATTGAAAAGTTTCTTAGAAAGTATTTTTATTGTTTTAAAGTTTTCCGTTAAAACAAAAGTCTTAAATTTAGTTTTTCGAAAAGGAAAAGAAGTAAGGAAGAGAGGGAGAGAAGGGAGGAAGGGTAAGGAGGAAAAAAAAGAATATAAAAAATTAAAAGTAATTTACCCGGTTTAAACTCACTCCCACTCACACCCCACACCCCTCGCCATATTGTTACAATTTTTGGGCCTTGAGGGTTAAAAAACTTACCAATGGGATTTGATGAAAATTTAAGTCAGAATCCTTTAAACTGAATGTTTTAAGAAAACCGCAGAGAATCTTGTGTTCATGAAGAAAACCCCTCGAGTCCAAGAATTTCACAAGGAACAGGAACAAGAAGAGAAATAAC